TGTAGTTGTTAGCGTCTTTAGCTGTTAGCGTCTGTAGTTGTTAGCATCTGTAGTTGTTAGCGTCTGTAGTTGGTAGCGTCTTTAGCTGTTAGCGTCTGTAGTTGGTAGCGTCTTTAGCTGTTAGCGTCTGTAGTTGTTAGCATGTGTAGCTGTTAGCATCTGTAGTTGTTAGCATCTGTAGTTGTTAGCGTCTATAGTTGTTAACGTCTGTAGCTGTTAGTGTCTGTAGCTGTTAACATCTGTAGCTGTTAGCGTGTGTAGCTGTTAGCGTCTGTAGTTGTTAAGATCTATAGCTGTTAGCGATTTTAGTTGTTAACGTTTGTAGTTGTTAGCATGTGTATCTGTTAGCTTCTGTAGTTGTTAACGTCTGTAGTTGTTACCGTCTGTAGCTGTTAACGTTTGTAGTTGTTAGCATGTGTAGCTGTTAGCGATTGTAGTTGTTAACATCTGTAGCTGTTAGCGTCTGTTGTTGTTAACGTTTGTAGTTGTTAGCATGTGTAGCTGGTAATATCTGTAGTTGTTAGTGTATGTAGTTGTCAGCGTCTGTAGTTGTTAACGTTTGTAGTTGTTGTCTGTAGTTAACATCTGTAGTTGTTAGCATCTGTAGTTGTTAGCGTCTGTAGTTGTTAGCGTCTGTAGTTGTTAGCGTCTGTAGTTGTTAACGTTTGTAGCTATTAGCGTCTGTAGCTGTTAGCGTCTGTAGTTGTTAGCGTTTGTAGTTGTTAGTGTCTGTAGTTGTTAACATATGTAGTTGTTAGCGTCTATAGCTGTTAGTGTCTGTAGCTGTTAACATCTGTAGTTGTTAGCATCTGTAGTTGTTAGCGTCTGTAGTTGTTAGCGTCTGTAGTTGTTAGCGTCTGTAGTTGTTAACGTTTGTAGCTATTAGCGTCTGTAGCTGTTAGTGTCTGTAGTTGTTAGCGTTTGTAGTTGTTAGCGTCTGTAGTTGTTAACGTATGTAGTTGTTAGCGTCTATAGCTGTTAGTGTCTGTAGCTGTTAACAAATGTAGTTGTTAGTGTCTGTAGTTGTAATCGTCTGTAGTTGTTAGCATCTATAGCTGTTAGTGTCTGTAGCTGTTAACATCTGTAGTTGTTAGTGTCTGTGGATGTTAACATCTGTAGTTGTTAGTATCTGTGGATGTTAGCATCTGTAGTTTTTAGTGTCTGTAGTTGTTAACATGTAGTTGTTAGTGTCTTTAGTTGTTAGCATGTGTAGTTGTTAGTGTCTGTAGTTGTTAGCATGTGTAGTTGTTAGTGTCTGTAGTTGTTAACATCTGTAGTTGTTAGCGTCTGTAGTTGTTAACGTCTTGTGCTGTTAGCGTCTGTAGCTGTTAACATCTGTAGCTGTTAGCGTCTGTAGTTGTTAGCCTCTGTAGCTGTTAGCATCTGTAGTTGTTAGCGTCTAAAGTTGTTCGTGTCTGTAGTTGTTAGCCTGTGTAGCTGTTAGCGTCTATAGTTGTTAACGTTTGTAGTTGTTAGTGTCTGTAGTTGTTAACATCTGTAGTTGTTAGCATCTATAGCTGTTAGTGTCTGTAGCTGTTAACATCTGTAGTATTTATTGTCTGTAGTTGTAATCGTCTGTAGTTGTTAGCATCTATAGCTGTTAGTGCCTGTAGCTGTTAACATCTGTAGTTGTTAGTGTCTGTGGATGTTAACATCTGTAGTTTTTAGCGTCTGTAGCTGTTAATGTCTGTAGTTGTTAGCGTCTCTAGCTGTTAACATCTGTAGTTGTTAGTGTCTGTAGTTGTTAGTGTCTGTAGTTGTTAACATCTGTAGTTGTTAGTGTCTGTAGTTGTTAACATCTGTAGTTGTTAGCATCTGTAGCTGTTAGTGTCTGTAGTTTTTTAAGATATTTCCTATTTTGACTTGTCCTATGTTTTGATCTGCTCAGAGACGGGATTATAATGAAATTATGACCCGGTTCTTACTGGGTTAAACTGGGCCAGCAAACTCTTAAGAGAGTCTCCATGATAATTCAATATCTGTCAAGAAATAGTTTAATCAGCTTGCCACATCACGTAGAAAAGGCTTTAAAGCACCGTCTCATGTTTTCCTTGCACATCATTACACATAAAACCACACTTAGTCCCGCCCCTTCATACACTGATAAGCTGAGCTCCCCTTCTGCGAAAGGCAGAGTCTAGGACCCCATAAATGAGTGACAACACGGGACTTCAGGGCTCTTCCGGTTCTGTGAATGCGTCACAGGATTGTGTAGAGTCCAGCGCTGTGAAATTGTAATCTTTTCCTGTGTTTTTTAATATAACTGATAAAACTCAATGGACGTTTGTTTCCTTGATTTATTTGTTAGCATGAGTTGTCACTTCTGAGGGAGGTTCGAGCCGGGGGTAAAGACGTGGGCTGGAGGGGGTTTCTGGATCCGGTGGCCCGCAGCCAGATCACGTCTTTAACAAGTTGTTAGCGTCTGTAGCTGTTAGCATGTGTAGCTTTTAGCATGTGCAGCTGTTAGCATGTGTATCTGTTAGCATGTGTAGCTGTTAGCATGTGTAGCTGTTAGCATGTGTATCTGTTAGCATGTGTAGCTGTTAGCAGCCACGTATCGTTGCGTGCTTGGATAATCTAGTCTCGTGACTGTGTCTCTATTTTTCTGTGTAGGAGCAGGAGCTTCACGTCAGACCTCCACCAACCACATGTTTGTTCTCTAACAGGTATGGTTGTAATTTCTAGTAAAGTTGTTCAATATTAAGCTTCGGTCCAGCAGCCTCCACTTCAAAAAGTCAGCGCTCACGCGGTTTGGTTGTGCACGCGCTAACACCACCATGTAGTCACGCTTGCGAGGTTCTTTCAAAATAAAAGCTGATGTGTGTCTCCTGTTGGTACAAACTCTGGACATAAAACACATGTTAGCACTGGAAGCTGTAACGGGACCAACATTCCTGCTCAGCTGTTTCCACAAAAAGTTTCAATGTCGCCCCCATATCCAAAGAGTAGAGAACTTTTTGTGTTGTAAGTTAAATAAATAAAAAACTCCAATGAGTTTTTCATGTTTTGACTCGAGTTGTTTGAAGTCATTCTTGCTGGTCCATGTTCAGAAATGATTTTTAATGTCCGCCTGTGAATATGATCCATAATATTTGACTTTAGTCTCTGTTTTGTGGTTATTTGTATGTTCATGATGTGAGAATGTTCAATTGTTTTCCCTGAAGTTTCCATTAATATTAAAACAAAACTCTTAGTTTCCAGTGACCAGTCTCACTTCAGGCTGACTGTAGAACATCTCCAGATGTTGCTCAACAGATGTCACCAAGATCTCATGTGGAATTTCAAAATAAAAGCCCTCCAAAGTTGGACATTTTCCATAGAATTGTCCCTAAGTTTCTGTGTTTATTGCTCGTTCTTCAGGATGTTGTAGAAACAGCGAGGGTAAGTACGGCTTTACCAGAAATCACATCATTAGTGCAGAAAATGTATTGTCTCGTTGAAATGCAACATAGTTCAAGTAAAAACAGGAATGTTTCATTTAAAATAATTTATATGTTTAATATTTTAAGTGACAATAACCATTTGGAAAAATAAAGTTTAAATTGTACATTAATGTCAGAAATGACATTTATATCATTTTAACATCAAGTGTTTGTTTTTCCTGGTAAATGTTGAGAATTACAAGAGCTTTGTGTTATTTGTCCATGTCGACCAAAATCACTGGAGGTTTCTGGTTAGTGTGCATAAAAATGATACTTGTTGTTCTCGCAGAACATTTTAATTTAAAGTTTCATGTTTTGATTTGTGCAGAAACTCTGTGAACCACACAGTCTTTCTGGTGGATCAAGTTCAGCAGAAGACGATTGAAAACCTGCAAAAACATTTAGGTAAGTATTTATTAAGAGACAGAGGAGAAAAGTCTAACACTGAATTATATCTGGTGAGCTGCTTTTAAAATGATTTTAGTTGCTGTTATGGCCATGAAGGACAGAGTGCACATTTTATTCAAGTTTGATTCAGGAACATCATAAATTACACATGAATGTTTTTCACTGAAACTAAATGAATCTTCAAACTTGTTCCTGATCATTTTGAAAGAGATTTAGTAACAACTTGAGTTGGACACATCATGCCAGTGTAAGGACGACACGTGTTCCTTGTGTTGTGGCTCCTACAAAGTTTCTGAACACTTGAAGTCATCCTGCTACATTTATTAAACATCAAATGTCTCTACAGCTTTCTGTTCTTTGATCAAATAGATTTTCTGAATCATTAAACTTCATTTCCTTCAAACTACTAATTGGTTTTGATTTGTTCAAAAACTCACATTTCTCTAAGTCAATTGATCAAAACGTGCACGTTATTAAAATGCAGTCAGTTCTCACACTCACTGTTAAAGTCTAATAGAAAATAAATCAGTCAAAGTTCATTTAAATGTTGCTCATTAATTGTTCTTTTAATTGTAATTAGAATATTTAGCTGATGTTCAAATCAGTTCCTACAACTTGTGTTTCTTGAACAATTAGTTTCAAATATTTACTGATTCTATTAAAAGCTGCAACAGAGTTGAGCTGAACTGAAGGAGAGCGCGTCAGAAAAATGTGATTGTGTGACGTTAAATAGAACGGAGGCGTCGTGCTCCAGCCGCTCCAAAAGGATGGAAATATCTGCTGGGACATTGTTGTGGTAGTTGTTCACTGGAAACTTTGTTACTTGTTTATTGTTTGTACCTTTTCTTATGGTTTCTATATTTTTTAGATTGCCAGAGAAGTGATGAAGACTTTCCTGATATTCCAGCATCAGTTTTGAAAGATCAAAACTGGAAATCATAAAGTAAAGAGGAATGGGTCAACAGATACTGACTGCCTCAGGTTTGGTCCTGAAGGTTTGATTTCAACATTCTAATAGACTTATGCATTATTGTCCAACAAGGAAGTGACTAAAAATAGTTCACTCTGAAGATAATAATATTTTAAAGTGCAAAGGTTGTTAAGAAGGTGAAGAGGAGACGAATAATATCTGATTGGTTGAGCTGAGAACTGAAAAGGCTGAATGTGATTCAAATAAGTGATAAAGTTCACAATCACATTTGACTCTTCAAGAGAATTGTGTGTAAATAAATCAAACAATGATGTGTTTGAAGCTTTAAGGTCAAAATGCAGGTAAATCCAGTCAGAAATGTTCTTTGTATAAAACTAAACACTAGAACTCGACCTGACTGGATAAATGTGGATCCAGCAACACAGTTCCCTCAAAAACTACGTTTCTACTGCAGCTTTGCAAAGTATTACTGTGTGAATGTAAAATATGTCGTATTTAATTGTAATATGTTTCTTCTGAGTGTTTTGTCTGGCTCCATGTTACTTCATTAGTTGGGTCCATGTTTGGTTTGTGATGAACAGAACTCCACAATCAAATCAAACCATCCAGTGGCTCTATTGTTGTGACAATGCATCCCATGATGTCCACTTGTGTTCAAGTGTCAGCTCAGTTTGTGTACAAGTACTAGATTGTATGATGTGTTGAGTGTTGTATCACAGTTTCATGGTGGCTGGCTCTGCCTTCAGCAGGAGCAGTTCTGTTCGCACTTTCATGTTTTACCAGAGCTCTTTGTAATTATATTTTTATAAAGTATGCTATATTTTAAAACTACACACATATTTTACATCCAACATGTAGATTTTTATTCAATAACAATAAAATGAAGTCAGCTCTTATTAAAGAAGGATGTAACAGTGTGAGGTTTGAAATGTTATTTTTCTTATTAAATGTAACAATAGACATCATTATGATGATGTCACTTTTAAATTTGTCTTGAATTGTGTTTGATTTGTGCAACAACTGTTCCATGTGATCTCTGCAAACCCACCTGGAGCACGGCCTCCAGGGAGACAAAATACAAACTGGATTCCAAAAAAGTTGGGACACTAAACTAATTGTGAATAAAAACTGAATGCAATGATGTAGAGATGGCAAATGTCAATATTTTATTCGTAATATAACCTAGATGACAGATCAAAAGTTTAATCTGAGTAAATGTAACATTTTAAAGGAAAAATATGTTGATTCAAAATATTACAGTGTCAACAAATCCCTAAAAAGTTGGGACAAGTAGCAATAAGTGGCTGGAAAAAGAAAATTGAGCATATAACGAACAGCTGGAAGACCAATTAACAGTAATTAGGTCAATTGACAACATGATTGGGTATAAGAAGAGCTTCTCAGAGTGTCAGTGTTTCTCAGAAGCCAAGGTGGTAAGAGGATCACCAATTCCACCATTGTTGCACAGAAAGATAGTGCAGCAATACCAGAATGGTGTTACCCAGCGTACAATAGCAAAGACTTTTAAGTTATCATCATCAACCGTGCATAACATCATCAAAAGATTCAGAGAATCTGGAACAATCGCTGTGCGTAAGGGTCAAGGCTGTAAAACTACTGGATGCTCGTGATCTCCGGGCCCTTAAACGTCACTGCACCTCAAACAGGAATGCCACTGTCAAGGAAATAGCAGAATGGGCTCGGGAATACTTCCAGAAAGCATTGTCAGTGAACACAATCCACCGTGCCATCCGCCATTGCCAGCTGAAACTCTACAATGCAAAGAGGAAGCCATTTCTAAGCAAGCTCCACAAGCTCAGACGTTTGCACTGGGCCATGGATCATTTAAAATGGAGTGTGGCAAAATGGAAGACTGTTCTGTGGTCAGATGAGTCACGATTTGAAGTTCTTTATAGAACACTAGGACGCCATGTCATCCGGACCAGAGAGGACAAGGATAACCCAAGTTGTTATCAATGTTCCATTCAGAAGCCTGCATCACTGATGGTATGGGGTTGCATGAGCGCTTGTGGCATGGGCAGCTTGCCTGTCTGGAAAGGCACCATTAATGCAGAGAACTATGTTCAGGTTCTAGAACAACATATGCTCCCATCTAGACGTCATCTCTTTCAGGGAAGACCCTGCATTTTTCAACACAATAGTGCCAGACCACATTCTGCAGCAATCACAACATCATGGCTACGTAGGAGAAGGATCCGGGTACTGAAATGGCCAGCCTGCAGTCCAGAACTTTCACCTATAGAGAACATTTGGCGCATCATAAAGAGGAAGGTGCGACAAAGAAGGCCCAAGATGATTGAACAGTTAGAGGCCTTTATTAGACATGAATGGGAGAGCATTCCTATTTCTAAACTTGAGAAACTGGTCTCCTCTGTCCCCAGACATCTGTTGAGTGTTGTAAGAAGAAGGGGGGATGCCACACTGGTAAAAATGGACTTGTCCCAACTTTTTGGGGATTTGTTGACGCCATGAAATTTGAAAACAACAGATTTTTTCCCTTAAAATGATACATTCTTTCAGTTTAAACTTTTGATCTGTGATTTGTGTTATATTCTGAATAAAATATTAGATGTTGGCACCTCCACATCATTGCATTCAGTTTTTATTCACAATTTGTTTAGTGTCCCAACTTTTTTGGAATCCGGTTTGTAAAAGCTTAACTGGTCAACAACATCCTTTACAGCTTAACTTACCTCCACCATGCAGCCTCCACTGTAGAAAAATGCAGCAAACTTTAACAACAAAGTTTGTGACAGTCCTGTGGCCCCCACCTCACTTTTATTTTGTCTGTGTCCTCCTCACATCAGGGTCAGAGGCTCCTGTGAGGAGAACATTAACATAAACAGTGAGCATTAGGTGAACTGTTTAACCAGCTAACCAGATGGATGAGCACATTTTTACAAGCTTAATCTGATACTGTCAATCTTTAGTTAGCTTCTGAGTTTAGCTAGCTACATAGATAAAATAACGCTACACACTAATATCTTAAAGTTATCGTTACATGGATCCTAGATTAACTCTCAGCGATGTATGTATTAAGCTGCAGTAACGTTAACAAACATAAACTTACCAGCTGTAATCCCAGACACAGCTCCGTCCTCGAAGATCTTTGATGAAGAGGAGTCCGGTCGTGGAGATAATGAATCAGGCCGTTCATGCTCTAACACTCACAGGCTGACTTTAATGTTGAGAGAGGAGGGGGGAGGCTGCGGTCCCCCTTGAAGACAAACACGGAGCAACTTTCTGCTCGTAAATTGAAGCCTTTCAACGCCACACGCGCTGCACACGTGAACCCCGTCTGTGGGCGGAACCAGCGCGTAATATGTCTGTTTTACCTGCCTGCGTGCTGAAACCACATGACATTTTACATCCAGTGCCAAAACTTGACACAGAAAGAAGAGTGACGTTTCAGTCCATACACGGACAAACACAGTTCTGTCGGTGCCATAAAATAACCTTGGTGCGGTATACAGCCCTACTGTCCCGTCACTAAATGTTTTTTTTATGTTGCCCCAAAATCTACGATACGTTGAGTGAACATTCAGCAGCTGCTGGACTGTAAAAGTATTTGTGGTGAGGAGGGTGGGTCTGTCATACTGGGCTTCCAGTTCTGTTAATTTACTGCTCTCTGCTCAGACTTCAGCAGATACCGTTGCTCAAAAGACATGAAGAGCACTTCACGTTGCCACTTTTAATTAATGTGACCGTTTCAGAGCATATGAGGCAAACAGGTTTTGAACTGTCTGCTGGAAGAATGAACATTAATTTCTCTGTCCATTCATCTTTAAAACAACGGTTTTCAGCATCAACTTTTCTTATTTTGGAGCACAACATGCTGTCTCTTCCTCTGTTCCTTCTCAACTCTTCTCTGAGAGCTCGCTGCACCGGCCATGCAGGGAAAACAAAATATTTGATTGACTCATTAACTGAGTGACACTATTACTGTAACACCTGAAGTAGAGTGAACTTCCAAAACACACCTCCCCTGTCTCTGCACCTTAGTTATCTATCGCTGAAAAATGCTCCATGAAAGTCATCTTTTTTCCTGAATTTATTGGGCACAGGTCCGGACAGAACCATCGTCCGGATCCGGACCGAGGTCCACCTATTAGTGACCTCTGCTCTACACCAAAATATCAAAGAATTCAGAAATAGAAATTTTCTGGAATATTAGTTTAAATATTTGTTGACATATCATCAGAACAGTCACTTCAATACTGTCCACTTATCAAAATGCTCTAACAACAAACAAAAACTCACAATGTCATCAACAAGTTTCATTCAAAATAATATTTTAAGTGGTTTTACTGTGATATATACATATACAGAATGTCATAATAACTTCTGGAACTAAAATCAGTTCAATCCATTTTTTTTACCCAGCCCTGGTGGACGATACCTGAGTCAAAATCCAAGCTAAGGAAGTAGAAGTGTTCACCAGACATGCAGGGTCTGATGGCGCTCTGATAAACACTTTGGTAACAGTTCCTGTTTTAAATGTGCTATACAAATAAATCTGATTTGACTCTGGCACTGTGCCGGATCACTGGTGTACCTGCGGATAAAAATAAACAGAGTTCACCAAGAGATTTAACAGACATTTCTCTGGATCTAACAGAGGTGCAGCTTACACTCCCAACCACACTA